GGGAGGCTGTGAGAATTTATGAGGGAAGATGGGTCACAGGAAGAGAGAGTATCAGGGCAGGAAGAAGTCGCAATTGTGGTATTTCTTTCTCACGTATACCACCCTAAGGAAGCAGCTTACCATTGGTGTTAAGAAAGCTGGGGCAGGTGGCATCTTGTCCAGAGAGGCATGAACTTTTGTAGGCTATAGCCTACTTTTCCAAATATTATGAAGAGTCAGAATATGTGTATCTAGGGTGGCCATCAGGGAGGACATTCTGGTTTTCTGCTGCTCCGTCCTCTTTTGATACAAAACCCGACACCTTTATGTCCTCTATTTTTCTCTTTAATCCTGCAGCAATCATCCCACAGCAATTTTTCTTCAAGAGAAAAATAGAGGACGTAAAGGCATCCGGTTTCGCATCAGTCGAGGACAGAGGACAACCGGACTGTCCTCTGTGGTGGCCACCCTACGTGTATCTCATCTACACGCAACACGGACTTGAGATTATACCAAGTCCTAAGTACTAAGTCAGACAGACTACATGAAAAAGTATCAAGATCTTCCCTTAGATCTCAAGAGGATCTCAAAGCCTAGTTGATGCCGTAGCAAATGTTAAAGTTGGCCACTGTTGAGGTGGTCAGGGTCGCTCTTCTCACTTTGCTCTTTTCTGGTGTCCTGAATACACCTGCGTATCCACGCCATCAGCACATTGAGCTACAAGTGAGCTCAAAAACCAGCTGGGGAAAACCCAAACTGGATTTCTAAGGAGGAGCTGATCTTTGCAGAAGGCCAATACGAGTCAGCTCTGACGCCAGGGAGGTGGCAGGGGTTTTCCTGGAGGCAGCAGGGCACAGGAGACAAAGCAGGATGCCACTTCTGGACCAGTGTGAAGCTACGACAATTTGGGGACGAAGCTGGCAAGAGCAGCCTCCTGCTTTTTGTGGCTGAGTCTTTAGTCGCCCCCAGTGATTCTCAACCAGCAGCGCAGTGTGAGTCCAAATAGGTGTTGGGGGGTGGGAATACAAATAATTTTTTCCCCCCCAAAAACAGTGTAAAGAAGGTTTCAATTTTTCCATCCAAATGAAATATTTCAACTTTAATATAACAGATGTTGGGGGTTTCAGGTTTTTGACATATCCTCACCATTGCTTCCCACTGGAAAGCACGAAACATACTCGGAGTCCAAGGAAAATATTTCCTTTATCTGCTCCCCCCCCCCATTTAGATAAAAAATGAAACATATCCAACAATGCACAACTTTGATTTTTCAGGACAGTGTCTAAAACTCTTTGCCTTTGCCATGACCTTTACAGAGCTTTTAACCACACTTTCTTGGGGATTGGCAAGACTTTTGCAGTCTCTGAACTTGGACCTTTCTTATATTTCAGGCTGGCTTAAGAAAGCAGGTGGCTTTGGTTTTAGGTAAGGACACACAGGCAGGTTTGTATAACAAGTGACTGCAGTTTCTGATGGGCAGCCAGAGGGATATGTGGCTCAGTGCATGGTTTAAATGTGTTTTAAAAATAAAGGAGAGAGGATTCTTGATGAGAAGAGAGGGCAAGAATGGAAAGAAAAGGCAAGTTAAGAAAACATTAAATCCTAGAGTAGAACTGCAGTATCTAGGTTACCTTAATTATGTTCAGCTAAATATGGATGCCAATTAATTAGAAGGCTGCTTATTTCCAGAGAAAATTGGTTTCCTCAGAATGAACTAATCAGATTCTATTTTTAAAAATGATGAAATTATAAAATGGCACAAAGGAGTGCATCTCCAGCTTCCATGTCCCGCCAACCTCTGGTCTGACTAGAGTTTATTAAATGATTGTCTTGATATTTCATATTCTTGCGACTTCTGAATGTTTGGCAATAATTCCTCCTAGACCTGCCTGCACCCTATGTACAGGGTGCCACCTGCTCCTGTGCCATGAATGCCACGATGGGTTTACCAAAATTAAGGTGACTTGCTGGCAACAAGGAGTTAATCGCTTAAACTTTATAACTGCTTAAAATTATTGAAGTCTGGATTGGCATATTCATAATTACAGGCTAAAAATTCAGCAGCGGAAACACAGAGTGGAACAGGGAAAACACCGCCAGACATGGAGACTGAAATACTTAAACAATTTAGATAAACCTACTTGTTTTTAGAATATTAATAAGATTCAAGCTGTGCATCACAATTAAAATGCTGATTACAGTTCCTTCCATCAGCAGTTGCTTCTACTCCGAAAATTAAAGAAAAATTCAGAAGGGACCTTGAAAATTAACTGGAAGGAAAACCCATACACCTATGTGCTCGGGAAGGTAGTGGCACAAAGGAGTTAATATGTGAACTGTGGCAGTATTTAGGCAAAAATACTTTCCCGTAGCTGGTGGTCCAGGAAGTTTTCCATATGTGTGCAATAAACAGCTACTATGCTGGAAGCTGGACCATTTACCAAATGTATATCATCAGTGAGGGACCCCATGTTTCTTGGAGGAAACTAAAATCTGGGTGCAGCCACTGATGTCAGGCGAGTTACCTCTAACTTAATCTAGCTCTTAAAGTAAGGCTAGCAAGCCAGGCACATACAGCCAGTTGGGTCTGCAATCTTTTCCCAAGGCCTGGTAGATTTGGGAACTTCTCCAGCAATCTGTGGACCAGCCAGCACTTGGAAATTCAGTATCATACTGTACAGCCTTTTGCGCTGTAAGAGCTGCAGGCATTTGGGAATGATTATTATACAGCACACGCCACATGGGAAGACGTAAGTGCGTGCTCCTCCGTGCGCTATCTCATGCATTTCAGTTCACCCTCTGGTATGGCGAAGTGCTGATATTAAACGGCAAATGCTGCCTCCGTGGCAGAAACCCGTGGAGAAACACCAATGCCAGCGTTGCGCGTTCAAGTGGAGGAAACACGTTCCAACCAAAGGGAAGAGCCATTTCATGCACAACGTTGCAACCGTACACCAGCTCTTCCAAGGGATAGGGCGAAACGTGAGCCGCGGCAATGGCCGTTCAGCCATGAATGAGCACAATGGACAGGCATTGCTTTCCTCACAAAAAGCAGATCCCCATAGGCCCATTTCTGAAGCATCTGCTGAACCACCAGGAGTTAAAATGGCATGAGCTAGTTTAACAGAGTTATTTCTGAGCTCCTGCAAAGAGCTGAAGGAAATCTCCGGACAAGGGGTGGAAGTTAAAGTGCAAGGTCATCTGCTGAAAAAAGAAAAGCATATTCCAAACAGGAGTATTACTCAGTAAAAGTTTGTGGGATTATTCACATGTATTAAAGTAATTTATACTGGTAACTAGCAGGCAGCTCCAGACGCTGCAAAAACAACATTTAGCTGTGGATTAAATTTGCTTTTAAAAATGGCTCATAACTCACCAGTCATCAGAAACGGAGTCTCACCAAACCAGGCATGAAGTTTCAAACATGTAACAGGCAGGAAGGTACGTTTTTTAGATCGGGAGGCCGTGAACTAAAAAATGACAACGCTATACACTCTGAACACTTCCTGCTGGTCAGCTGCGCGCGGCGCTTGAGTCTAGGTGGTGAAAACTGAATATACACCCAGACTTTAAGTGCAGAGAACACAAAGTCAAGGCATAATCACCGTGACATGAGTGACAAGCTGAGCTTTGAACAGACTGGAGAAGGCAGACACAAGATGTGTGGAGGATGACAAACTGCAAATGACAATGGTGCAATAATCTCTCCTCCAGACTAGACAGCAAAGATTTGGCAGCAGAAATAAAGAAGAAAAGTCACTAGGACCTTGTGACAGAGTCTGAGAATTAGGGAACACGCCAAGTCAAATTTTCATGTTGCAAAACCCCTCTTAAAGACTGAGGAAAGGCAGAATTCAGCCCTGTCTTACCAGGACGCGAGTCCAGGTGGACTCGAATCCTTCAGACTGAGAAACAGAGGCTCAGCGTGGCCCTGGAAGAGACAGAAGGAGTATCAAAGCCCGTTCTGTGACTCAGCTGTGCCTAAGACATGGGACCATTGCTAAGATTGAAAAGTAATCTCATACAAACCTCACTCGAGTGTTTTACGGTGCAGCTTATCATGAAAGAAGAGTTGCAAGAAAGTATTCAGTATTGCCCAAATCCCCCCTCACCCTCCAGAGCAACACTACAGCATCTGTTTTCCACATGCCCAAGATTTCCATTTCCTTCTTTTGTATTTGTGCCCCAATGCAACCTTCAGTACCTTGACACTGAAGATCTGGGCCTCTGATCGGCTCAGGACTCCCTGCAGCTCTACAGCAGTTCTCATGGGTCATGGAGGGCAGCAGAAGATGACTTGCTTCAAGAGCACCTAGGCCCATAAAAGAAGGTTTCTGCCATTTCATTTGGCTGCTGCAGGGGAAGGAGATAAGTCATGCCATCCTGGACACTGCAGGCATCTGCCTTTGGGAAATTCTGCATTGTGGTTGTGTCGCGCACACTTTTCTGAAAGGGTGTGTCACACAACTTGGCATGTCCGCACAGAACAAGCTTCTCGTGGTCTGTTGGGATGTGCACAACTTAAACTAGATGGCTCAAACACTAGAAATGTGGGGTCTTGATCCTACCCTGAGCAGAGCCATTGAGAGAGAAGGGGCTTCTGGTGAGAATAAGGTCACACAAGCCATTACGGAGGGAACAGACCTATAGGGTTGCTAGGAGCAAACGTTAAGGCCAATGCTTCATTGCTTATAAGGAAGCACTAGGTGAGACCTGAGAGAGGCCCTCAGACTGAGAAGTGCAAGGGCCACGATAGCAAAAACATTTGTACACAGATCTTTGGTTTCTTTTTCCCCCCTAAAAGATCTAAAGGAAAATACCATTTATTAAACCCGCTTTCAAGCTTCACTTCCATAAACAAAAAGAAAATCCACAACCCCCCCCCCCGCGAAGATACCAAAGATTGAGGCATGTCACCATCGTATTAAAGAGATTCCTGGGACACAACGTCTGTTTTAACAGCTGTGCTTTTAGATTACCACTGAATTGCATTCAGGTTTTGTTAAGGAAAAATGACTTACTTGTTCCAGAGGAATGACAAGAAACGACCCTCCGCCAGCGCTCTCTGTCACAATGGCGAGGAACTTGGCATTGACCGCACAGAAATGGTTGTCGTGAACGTTCTTGGTAATCGGGATCCCATCAAAGCAGTGCTCTCGGTTCGCCACTTTCCCATAGACATTTCGAAACTTTGAGCTGCGATACTGTGGGCGCCATGACATCTGTAGAGCAAACATGTAGAGATTGTTAAAAATGTCCACATTTCAGGAGGGAAGTGATGCAGACACGCAGTGATTCCCAGGGCTAACTCAAATGGAAACACCTCAAGAGCAGCTCGAGTCCTCCCTTCATGTCAGTGGGACAGAACATCGCCTGCCACGTCCTTCTACGCGAATATCCAAACATCCTCGAAAGGCTCAGCTGCCCACTTCTCATTTAGTTCACCAGTCCGGAGTTGCAATGGGGACATTCTCCCTCAACTTGCAGACAGATCTGGGAGGAGAAGATCGTTTAGGCATGGCTGGGAAATTGTTCCAACGTTCACTTGGAAACAAGGACAGCACAGCCAGCAACATTTGGATCATCATCGGACAGTGACAGCAAAGCTGGGGAGCTAATGAGCAGGTGAGCCAAGCTCCGTGCTAATGATGAACTGCTTGGTTCACCTTCTCTCTGCAAATGTGTGCAGAATTATTCCCAAATTCATGATATCGTTGAGGAAAAACTGTGAGCTGCAATTCACTGAAACTGGAACACAGCTCCAGTCATTTGACCTTTGAACAGTGCCTTTGGACATCCTCCCAAAGCACCTAACAAGAATAAAGAACATCCGTCTCCATGATTTCAAAATACTTCTTTATTATGAAGGAACAATACACACTGAAGCTAATGGAAGTTGGGTAGACTGAATGCAAGTTAGCATTTAATAAAACAGTGTATACCAGGGATGCCCATGGGGCTTTGGGGCTTCTCACAGCTACCAGAGCCGCTGTGTTGGCATGGCCAGCACCATGTGGATTTGTGTCTTTGGACATGGATGAAAATGAACTGCCTACTGGTACCTGTCAATGAGGATGTCCACACAGGGAGCTATGCAGAGTGGCTACTGTGCTTTAAATTCAGACCCCATCCTATTTTGCAATAACTTCCCCCCTTTGCATTGTTGGAGCACTTACCCATGCAGATGTGGCAACTGTCTACACAAATAAAAAGACCCCCAGAGACCAATTTGCAGTTTCCACTGTGGATACACTCATGCTGAATCTGTTTGCAAAGGGAAAGGAGGGCAGTTGTAGGCTCATTTCTGAATGTTTTCAGCGCTGCTTGGAGATTGTGTGAAGCCCCCCCTGAAAAGGCCAAATAAAACAGATTTCCATCTTGAGAAACAGCGCTGTATTATTTGTTAGCTTCCATCGGGGAGAACAGGTCCTTACGGTGCAACAAACCGTTGCTCTGCCCCAAGGACTTAAGTGTTTAGAAAAGCATAAGCACTTAAGCCCCCTAGCAGCAGCACCATAAGTGTTTAAACCTCTATCGAGACACTCTGACAACTGCACAGCTGAGGATTCAAAGCAGCTTATGGCTCCCTAACTAACATCCACCAACAAACGCACATGCGCCTGCACTCAAGCAAAAGGCCTCACGCTCATCACATCTCTCAACAAGTATCAATAACAGGCACATCTTTTCCAGACCCGGCTTTAATGAATACAGTAGTAACGCTTATCCTATCACTTCCACTGCCCCAGCTGCATTGCGTGGAGCATCCCTTGCTGAAGACTCTCAAAATATAAAATGCTACCGTTCAGCCCATTTACACTCTTCTTGTGTGGCAAAGTGAGGTTGGTTTCTCTGACAGGCAAGGCTGCGGAGGTGGGAAAAAAAACCAGGGAGCAAGGCCTGTTTTTTGCATAAATGCATAACTTACCCAGAGAGGTGGTGGAGTCTGCATCCTTGGAGGTGTTTAAGCCCCAGCTGGACAAAGCCTTGGCTGGGATGATGTAGTTGGGGCTGGTCCTGCTTGGCTGGACTAGATGTGACCTCCTGAGCTCCCTACAACCCTCGTTTTCTTTGATTTGATAATAACTGGGCTATTCTAAAGGCTCCATGCTATAATAGACTTCATAGACTTCATAGATATTTGGGCTGGAAGGGACCTCAGAAGATCATCGAGTCCAGCCCCCCGCCTGAAGGGCAGGAAGTCAGCTGGGGTCATGATTAGCAATTAACAGGTCCAGTTCACATGGCTTAGTTCTTGGCCAAACAAATGGAGACATATTCTGCAGAGGACTAACCTGAACCCAGAGCATCAAAATGATGGATGGTTTATTCATCCTTTGGCAACTGAGGATGTAGAGATGCAATGAGATCTTATTCTCTCGCAAAGAACATTATTTTTGTAGGGTTTTGTTCAGCATCTAGCATAACAGCCCATCCTTCCCAAAGGTCCCTGGGAAATCCCCAATGACAATAGTTAGAAAGCACCTCAGTAGTCCTCTCTAAGCCATAAGCTGTATCACGCCAAGTGGACATTTTTAATTGCTTACAAAAGAAGGCTATTTAAAAAAAAATGCAGCAAATCTGGCATTGTCGAGCCAGTCTGCAGCCTCCTCTGATGAGGAAAAAATGAAGTAGCAGGTTGCAAGTCAAAGTATAGCGAGCCCATCCAATGACCCACAGCTTTAACAGGATGGGTTGGCCTGGTTTACAGGAGTCCCAAGTGATTCAGGTTAACAATTCATCTGTCATGTCCAGATGAACGTGCCCCGTGTTCCCACAGGTTAACCACCTGCCCCCGTACCCTGCGCGCTGTGACAGAGCCATAGGGAGATGTGCCCTCTGCGTCTCTTTACAGCACGTTCACCATGTAGGAAGGAGCTTCTAATTTAGCTTTTCCTGGGGGCACTTGGAAGCCAATATGCTGATCACCGAGCTGTCCAAGCAATATCAGGGACAAGGTCACACGTGGCATCATAAGATTTTTTCCGCACATAACACCTGGAGATCCAGTCGGGAGAAACAGAGGAGCCCACGCTTGCCTTTTGGGAGCCGCCGGCCTTCCTATTCTGTCGTTCCCTGGCTGCACGAATGATACGTCCAGGGAAAACTCGGAAATTTTCCTTAGAGTGGTATTTTCTCCCTGTGTTAAAGTCCAGAGCAGATGGCATCCTCTAAGCAGGGAGATACTTGCAATTTTGAAATTGCATTAAAAAAATTATGAAGTGATCTAGTATCCAGGAAGACACATCCCTCCTGGTGTTTGATTAATTCACCAAATTCACTCAGCTAGTCACTGTCAAATGGCCCGGTGTAAGCAAGTTCTGAGATTTATTTTAAAACTCAGAGCTGGCCGTTCCAAGGGCCGTGATGGATGGAGCTGTCCTATCCATCTGGGACTCAAGAAAGTGCAAGATACTGTAATTTTCAGGATTTCAGCCTCTTTCTATTTTTAAATCCCTGTTATTTGTTCTTTCACAGAACTCGGGGCAAACTTCCATTCTGTTCTCACCCTGGGGAGAGGAAGCCAGAAGCCTGAGTGAATATTTCACTGGAGAAATCTCTCATTTAACCTCAGCCACTATTTCCTGTCAACAATGTCAAGTAGCTCCAAAGGCTCTGTCCTGCCTATAGCCAGGAAGCGTCAGTGAAATATCTGGAAATTGCTTCATGCTGCTTTGTCCAGAAGAGCCACATTGTGCAATGCAACAAACACCGCTCCTCTCGGGGTCTAAGCAATTCTTTACACCCAGCTCCTTCCTGGAGCGACGATCGTTTCGGTGGCCAAAAGGCACACCGGCGGCATCAGAAATAGCTCATCACGTCATGTGGGAGACTTGAGATGAAGTCTCGCTCAAGCCATCAGAGCTTGGGAGCATCGTGGGGGCGGAGGCAGGGCATCCCAAACCGGCCTCCCAGCTGGGGAGGCCACCAGCTGCACGGCCCACGAGGAGGTCTTGGGATCCAACGCAGGAAGTCAGGCGTTCGGAAACAACAACAGCCGGGGAAAGAGCATGGGGCTCAAAGCTGGATTAAAGGGCAAGCAAGACAAGGGAGAAACCCCATTTAAACAGCTGCCCACAGTCCCCAAGAATGCTAGGATCGCTGGTGTCATCATTACCCCTTTGCTCTCCGTTAGGGGAAGTCATACAAATCCGCGGTGAGTTATACCGCCATGCAGAGAGAACTGCTGATGAAAAAGATCTGTAGGAGTTTCTCCTCTCAGAAGAAAAGGAAGACAAATGCTGTTACAGTTAGCAAAAGAAAACAGTCTGAACGCATCTACAGGAGACGCGGCTGCGCAGTAGTGTTGGGGGGCACTAACCCATGGGGGCCACTCACTGCACCGGAGCAGCAGAATAAAGCATGCGGGGATGCTACGGCGCAGTCATTTAGTTATGCAAATACTAAATGACCGCGCCATAACAACTGCGCAGTCCACCGGTCCCGTAGACATGGTCTCGGAGTCTGATACGTGATCCTGCAAAGAAAGGAATGAAATATTTCTGTGGTTCTCCAAGTCCTTATGGCAGGGCACCTAGGCAGACAGGAAGATGAAATCCTGATGGCAATAGCGAAACTCCCATGGGTTTTAACAGGCTCAAAATTTAACCAGTAGTACTTCAAAGTGCAACTAAATAGGCAGCAGGACCTGCGTGCCCTTCCTAGCTTTGCTATAGACCAGCATGCCCAATAGGGCAAGCCACTCTGGTTTCCCACTCTGTGAAAAGGGGAGAGTGATTCTTCCAGGGGCTCTGCAAAGGCTGAGTATTATGACAGAAGCTGCCGTCAGTATGTTGAGACCAGCCGTTCTGCTTAGAAGAGCAATTCTTCAGGAGGTTATAATATAGTTGGCAGCCAGCTGGAGAATCCTTCCAATCCAGATTTATTTTATGCATCTTCTAAGTCAAGTCTTTACAGACTTCCAGGGGAAATATGTTGACATGAAATAGTGCATCCAGGCTATATTTTCACAGCAGCGTGTGAAAGATTGCAGCAAAACAGCTCACAAGGCCAACACTGCTGCCTGTCCTGGCATGAGTAGCACCCCAGGAAGACGGTGTAACTATTTGCTTCTGGGCCAGGGGGTCCACTAAACACAGATCATCACAGTTTATATATATATATATATTTATGCACGCTATACTCCATCTTACAAACACATTCAGCTGGTTTCTTTTTGGATTGATTTGCTATTTGGAGCTATGTGCATTGTGGAGAACAA